TTTTTTTTCTCTCCTTCCCTCTCCTTCTATTTGAATGATCACGATTAAGTCATGTTAACATCATATATTAATTTTTTATAGAAGAAGAAAAACAAAATAAAGAATGTAAAAGGAGAGGATGAAAGAAGATGGAAAAAAATAGAAAAAAGACGGAAAAGAATCCTTGTTTTTTTGAGAATTGAGAAAGGCGGTTGGTGTTGAAATTTGAGATTCCAAGGCATACAGTACATCCCACGGCGCGCATAACCGGCTTCGCTGCCCACCGGCGCCTGCCCATAGGAAACTAGGAATTAGGATACTGATAGGACATATAGCCCATAGGAGTGACTCTTATTACTAGTTTGGTCTGCTGGTTTCGGCTTATTACTAGTTTGCTCTGCTGGTTTCGGACACAAACCAGAAGTTGAAAAGTGGGTTACTAATTAATAGGGCTTATTTGCGACTTCCAAGTGTCCACACGACGCTAAGTCAGCAGTTAGGAGTCACAATCGAATCAAATGGAGGTGTGCCTGCTGAAATACGCACCGCACGATTGCAAATCACGGGTCAAAGAGACAGAGCCGAGAGCTGGCCTACCTATGCCTGTAAGGGATACTAATCATACTATCACACATCATTTTTTACTTTTCACACATATTTTATTAATTTTTGTTTGTTGATCTTTTTTATTTCATCCGATTTAACTGCCGAAAATAAAAAATACGTGGGAAAAATAAAAAAGGATGTGTGGATATCACATCCCTACCTATAATAATATGCATGAAATAAATTGCTGCATGTTGGTTGGTTGCTTCTCTAGAAATATTTGTAGAAAAATTAGAAAGCTTAAATTCTCTCTAGTTTGTTTTTGTCATCACATACTCGTATTTGTCCTTTCATTTTATTACCTCACTTTCTCCAATTTAGGCAAAAATTCCTTCCAATTAAAATGAACAAAAATAGCTACAAAAATAAATGAAGAAAAATCAACCCAACTCACAAATTTGACTAAATTGACCAAAGATAAATATAAAATGGAATAAGATTCTCAAATAGTAATTAAAAATGAGAGAGAAGGAAGAAAAAGAAAACACACAGAGAAAGAGGCATTGGCGAACACGTTTGTTTCTCGGGCTTCTTCTTCTATTTCACCATCAAACGTATTTTGTACTATTCGCAAATCAAAATCCCCATTTTATTTTTCTATTTTTATGAGAAGTGTTATTGACATTCTAAAAGTTTCATTTTACACTCTTTACAAGTGTATTTTTTTTTTCAAATATAGAAAATTTAAAGTATAAAATGAAATTTTTAGAGTCCCAATAACAATTCTCACTTTTATTCCCTTATTAATCATCCGCTTTGAGTTTGCAATATGCGTATGTTAATATATATATCATTAAGGCTTCATTTTATTTGCGAGAGTTGAGTCATTTTGCGAACACAAGACAAGTACATCGCCGTTGGCATATTTTCCCACAACACTCTTTCAACTCCCCCACCCAATAACAACAACGACAACAACAGAAAAAGCTGAAAGCCGAAAGAAATCGGAGGGAAAAATGGATCAGAGGCCCAAGACCAAGATCGTCTGCACCCTGGGACCCGCGTCGCGGTCCGTTCCCATGGTGGAGAAGCTGCTGAGGGCCGGCATGAATGTCGCCCGCTTCAACTTCTCCCATGGGTCCCACGAGTACCATCAGGAGACCCTCGACAATCTCAGGGCAGCCATGGAATCCACCGGCATCCTTTGCGCCGTCATGCTCGACACCAAGGTCCGTCCCTCCCTCTTCTCTCCTTTCCGATCCCATCTGATCCTAATCTCTCGGATTCACAATCATACTTCTTCTCTCTGTTTGTATCTTTGTTTTGTTTGCTAGGTTTTTTGTTTGTTTGCTCATTTTTCTGTTTAGGGTTCAGATTTTTTTACATATACATGTATAGACACACACACACACATGAAAGCTATTAATTTGTGTATGATTTTTTTCATTTTTGGAAAATTTGCAAACACTGACACATGTATTTCATCTCTCTCTGTCTCTCTGTGTATGTTGTGTGTGTTTATTTGTGTGAAATGAATCCTTCCCTCCCTTAGGTTAGAGGTTAGGACTTAGGACGCACATTTTTGGAAACTGTACCAAGGCCACGTTTGCTGCCTAGGATTGGATTGAACTGGCCACCATTTGTTCCTTCAACCTAGTTTGAATCTAGCTAGTTATCTAATCCAATACAATTCTAGACACCAAACGAGGACCAAGTCTCGAACTAGAATGACATGTTATTTTTCAAGAAGTGGATTAGATTATGGAAGCTTTGAGGAATTCCTGATTGTTTGTTTGTTTGTTTCTTAAATTCACCGCCACAGGGTCCAGAGATTCGAACTGGATTTCTCAAGGATGCGAAACCCGTCCAGCTCAAACTGGGCCAAGAGATCACCATTTCCACTGATTATAGCCTCAAGGGTGATGCAAATATGATTTGTATGAGTTACAAAAAGCTGGCTGAGGATGTCAAGCCGGGGAGCATGATTCTATGTGCTGATGGCACCATCTCCTTTATGGTTCTGTCTTGCGATAAGCAAAAGGGTTTGGTTCAATGCCGCTGTGAGAACTCTGCAGTTCTTGGTGAGAGGAAGAACGTTAATCTTCCCGGGGTCATTGTGGATCTCCCAACCTTAACAGAGAAAGACAAAGAAGATATTCTCAAGTGGGGAGTTCCAAATAAGATTGACATGATTGCCCTGTCTTTTGTTCGGAAAGGCTCTGATCTTGTGGAGGTCAGGAAGCTCCTTGGAAAGCATTCTAAGAATATCCTTCTCATGTCAAAGGTAAGGCTCACTTTTTCATGACAAGATAAACTGAGCCATCCTGGAGTATGCTTTTTTTTTTTTTTTTTTTTTTTTAACTGCTTTTGACTATAGAGAGAACCTAGTACAAGTTTATGTTGCCTAGATTAATCAGTGATTGCAAATTTGCAACTGGTACTTACTTCTTCTTGGTGCCTTTCGTTATGCAAAGTATTATGAACCGATTCATTTGAACTCAAAATCATATCTAGCAAAAAGGTTTACTGGCATTGTGGAATTATTTAGATAGTTTTTTAGGCGTTCACTAAAACTATGCGACTGTTAGCAACGTATCTACCCTCTTGTATGGATACTATTACGGTTAAATTTCACGTATTTTCTTCCTTTCTATGGTTCTTACTTGAAAATTTGATTGATAGGTTGAGAATCAGGAAGGGGTGGCGAACTTTGATGACATCCTTGCACAATCAGATGCATTCATGGTGGCACGAGGTGATCTTGGTATGGAAATTCCAATTGAAAAGATCTTCCTTGCTCAGAAAGTGATGATCTACAAGTGCAACATCCAAGGAAAACCTGTGGTCACGGCAACACAGATGTTGGAGTCAATGATCAAATCTCCCCGTCCAACTAGGGCTGAAGCTACCGATGTTGCCAATGCCGTTCTAGATGGCACAGATTGTGTGATGCTAAGTGGTGAGACTGCTGCGGGAGCATACCCTGAACTTGCAGTGCTGACCATGGCAAAAATATGCGTAGAAGCAGAGAGCACCCTTCACTATGGAGATGTGTTCAAAAGGATTATGGAACACTCCCCCGTGCCCATGAGCCCATTAGAGAGTCTGGCTTCTTCTGCTGTTAAAACAGCCAACTCGTCCAAAGCAGCTCTTATATTGGTACTGACCAGAGGAGGAAGTACTGCAAAGCTGGTGGCCAAGTACAGACCTGGCATGCCTATACTGTCTGTTGTTGTCCCTGAGATTACGACCGATTCATTTGACTGGTCATGCAGTGATGAAGCTCCAGCAAGGCATAGTCTGATTTTCCGTGGGTTGGTTCCAGTTCTAAGTGCGGGATCTTCAAGGGCCTCTAATGCAGAGACAACTGAAGAAGCGCTGGACTTTGCCCTCCAACATGCCAAGACAAAGGGACTCTGCAAGAACGGAGATGCTGTTGTGGCTCTGCACCGTGATGGAACTGCATCTGTGATCAAGATCTTGACCGTGAAGTGATGATGATGGCAATGGTTTCTTATGTTGTTCTTTTTGGCATTTTCAAAATTAGCCAATGACAATGCTTGTGATTTTGCCTTGCCTTGCCTCGTTTAATATGTGTTTTTGGATGCGAAAACATCTATGTCTACCGCCGTCATCAGTGTTTGTGATGAGCAGGCGTGGATAGCTACATAATTTGCTGATATTGCGATGTTGGACTTAATGCAATACGTTTACGAATAGGACCATTTTGATGAATTGATAGCTTCATGAGTTTTGCATGTTATGTATGTTAAAAATAGATGTTACTTAATCCACCGCTTAGACTTAATATTACTAATACGACAGAAGAATCCGTAGTATGAATTATGAACATGATCCATCATCCAACATAATAAACAATTCGATCGAGTTCTGAATTCAATTCAGTTCAGTTTAAATGGCATGGCTTGACTTGGCTTCTGCGTATGATTGAAGTAAATATAGACATGGGCTAGGCCAGCCGACCATCCTAGTTTGGAACATGGTTTTGTAAGAAAGAATAAAATATCAAGTATGACAGAGGAAAGGATCAGCAGCTAATACTAGTAGGACCTATCTTCCAAGTCGGAATTGGATCCTCTCCCGAGCACAAGCTCAGGATCCTCCTGACCAGCCCACATGAGCCGTTGGATTTTGATCCAATGGTTACAATTATCATAATTTTAAAGAGATCTCCTGTTTGTAACTGTTGGATTCTCACGTGTGCTGGTCAAGAGGATCCTGAGCACAAAGCTCAGGAGAGGATCCCATTCCTTCCAAGTCTTGTCTATAATCCAATGAGAACAATCAAGGGTTCTAGTGAGTCCGTGTCAGCTGGGTCCACCTCCGAAAATGACATTATCAAATTCAATACCAAAAAATTCAAAGTTGGAACAAAGAAGCCAAAAGTCCAACAATGATGCTGAAGCTTTCATGCCTCTAAAGCAGCACCAGTTATGAGTGCAACAGCAAAGAAAAAATGGGAAAGCAATTCACTCACATATCAGGTAAATATAGCAACATAAGTAGTTCTTGTGGTACTGACTAGGAGGCCAAAACATCTACAAGAGACCATCCTTCCTTATAACAAAAAGGAGGAAAAATAAAACAACAATTTGAACTTCCATTATTCACATTCACGTAAGATACTATGTACACAAGCTGCGCAGAGGACGATTGAAGCCACATAATGGACAAGAACCTGATATACCAACTGATCTAATGGAAATATATACTCAGTTCTCTTCTGTTTGAGAAGTGCTTCCACTTCCGGTTGCATTTGCCGACGATGATGATGATGAATTTCCCACACTGCCACCTGACTGAGATCCTGAGTGAGAAAACAGACCATTGAAAGGCCACGGTATTGAAAACCTTCTCCCGTTTCCGTTTCTCCCATCCTCATCTCCCTCTTCCCCACCAACATCATCACCAATCTCTTCACTCTCCCTCGAGTTACTGCTATTCCTGGAAATATCTGAATCACGCTTTGATTCATCAGCAGGCAACTGGAACCTGCAAACTGGACAGGAACTATGAAGCTCCAGCCATGGCAGAATACACCCGCTATGAAACTTGTGCTTACATGGCATCTCTTTTGCTTCTACACCGACCTCAAAATCATCCAAGCACACTGAACACTGCAAATTCTCCTTGATCGTCACAGTGGGCAGAGCTTCCACTGCCTCCTTTTGCGCAGGTGGAGTCCCATATCTATTAGGATCATTCTCTGCCAAATGTTGCAGCAACAAATCTAAACCAGGCCCGATGAAATAATCGCCTAATGAACCAATAGGGGTGTGATTGTTGTTTTGACCCTGATTCGAATCGTAAGATCCCTGAACAATGATGGTTTGATTGAAAGGATTTATAAGAATTACACGCTCCCTCTCCCTTTCTCTTTCCCTATCCCCCTCAGAATTCTCAGACTCAGATGCCAATCCAGCTCGAATGCCTTGAAGCAGCTGTAGAATAGTAGCTGAGCTTCTTCTCCTCCTCCGGATGATTGATTCAAGTTCTCTGTCCAATTCAGTATCTCCGCCCTGGCGAGTGTCACCATCATCATTGTCATTGTCATTGTCATCATCATCATCATCATCGTCATCAAAGTCGAGTCGTCTTAATCTCCGGCGACGACGGGGATTGTTCATCATGCCCAACAGGATTGGAGCCCAGAGGGAGAGCGCACGATCGGAACCCAAATCAGAGTCAGCGTCTTGATTCTCCCTTGTAGTGCCATTGATTTCTTCAATAAATCCGCCTTGGCAAAAGGGGCATTTCATTTCTACTTCCATGATGGGATTCACCATTTGAGAACACCTATAACACCAATACCTTGCTACCATTGCTTCGTCCATCTCTCGTTCTTTCTTTCTTTTTTTCTTTCTTCACTCACTGTCACAATACCATATCAAAATCAATTACCAATTAAACAGGACCAAAGAGATGAAGAATTTAGCCCGACTTGAGATCTAAGCCATCACAACAACAATATTGCCCTTCATCCCCACAATCCCACCCAACACACAAATTATTAACAACACCATTTAATATATGTAAATCCCAAACAACTAAATAATTATCAAGAATAATTATATAAAAAAAGTCAGAATTTGACAAGTCCATGCAGCAGAAGATATGCTGAAGTTGAGCACCTTCGATGAACCACAGAAAGAAATCACTTGTTTCAGAAAGGAAAAAAAAGCGCAAAAATAGATAATAATAAAAATAAAAAGGAAGACGGAGAGTTGAATTTTTATTGTTACCAAAAGCCAAAAAATGGGAGGAACAAGGTTGAGCAACAGCAAAAGCAGATGTTAAGAAATCAAATCGCTTTCCAGAATGGAACCAGGGTTTTATGGAAGAGGATTAGAGGAGAGGTGTGGATTTAAAGCCGATTGTAACATTTAAGGTGAGTAGAGAAGGAAGGGAAGGATCTGGAAGTATTTCAGGACCCAGCTATTTATTATCCATCTAGTATTTAGTATTTACCAACAATAATTAATAACAATCAAAATTCAACAACAAGAAGAAGATGATGACATTTGACATGCAAACCAAACGTAAACGTAATAAATTTGGAAATTACTGCAGCATATAAAGTTACAAAATTTAGACGAATTGTTTGAATAATACAGAAGGAGAGAAATACAAGATTTGTGGAGAGTGTACCCACCCAAATGATAAAGCAAGCAATTTTATGAATTCCTTCTTTGTCTTCTTCTTCCTCCTTCCTTCCCCTTCTGGGTTTTTGGTTTTGGTTTTGGCTTTTGGAGCTGCAAAAAAAAAGAGAAAACTGAGGGAAAGAAAGACTCCACCAACCCTTCCCCCCTCTATCTGTGTGTGTGTGTCTCTCCCGATCCCATCCCCTTTCCAAGTTTCCAACTTGCTAATTTCTTTCCTCTATTTTTCTTTTACTCCTTTGCTTTTGAAAATTACAAATTCAAATTGCAATATTTTAGACTAATGTTGTGATTACTCTACTTTTCATTCCACGTTTATATCATCTTCTACTGAGAAATTTCCGCCGTTTGTTTATTCTCTTCTACTCTTTTATTCTTTGTTTTTGTCTGTTTGTTTGTTTCTTTCGATTGGGTTGGGTATCTATAATTTCCTTGTCCTTTTAAAATTAAAAAAAATGAACTAATCGTAAAACGCGTTATGTGTATGCGTGTGATGTGGACCATGTGGTGGTGGTCCCTCATTCATTGTTTTTCAAAACCAAATAGCCAATAATTTGATTTCTATTGCCTTCTTTTTTTATTTTTATTTTTCCTATATCAAGAACCTTTCATATTCAATTTTAGTCTCTCTCTAATTTCTCTCCTACGATAATTAAATATTCTTGTTACCCGCTATTTCACAACTTTGCCCTTGATTGTTTTGGTTACTTCCACAATTGTTGCTAGCTGTTGGTGGTCAGCTCAGCTCAAGAAATTAATATCAATTGTTGTTTTCTTTTAATAAAGACAATGTTGAACTACATTATTATTACAAACTTATTATAAAATTTAATTAACTTCCCCAACATCTTAATGTATATACTATGTTTTGTTAACAAAATAAAATATAGCATAATATTATTGAACGAAAAGATTTATTATGCCCAATTAATATAATTTAAACAAATCGCTAACACTATGATCGAGCTTAAGTATAAATGAAGGGATCAATACCTAATAACTTGAGGCATCGCAAGTATGGATCAACCTCCTCTAGTGATCAACCCCACCCCCCCCCCCCCCCTCTCTTTTCTCCCCCCTCGTAACAAAATAGATTCATACCAAAAGCACATTAATTAAAAACGAAAACACTCTTAAAATATTTCTTATCTTCTATGAAGCTCCTAAAAGGGTTTTGTAGTAGCAAAATTTCGCCGTCTTCTTATTTGACGAAATTATACCTACTAAATAAAGTGACGCCTTAGGTTAAGGACCAAAGTCACGCGCCTAGAGAGGTTTGGCAACCAATGAACCTCTGAAGTCTAAAACAATTTCTCTAAAAAAGAGAGATTTAGAGTTGAACTACGGAAAATCAACTTACCAAATAATAAACTGGAAAATGGGGAATTATAGGAGTTAGGGTTGACCACATGTATAGGGAATCTCATGTCATGTGTCGGCGTCTGATTGACCAGAGTGTGTCATTTGTTGCATGCAATAGGAAAATATATTTAAGATGTTGAAATATCTTAAAATGTTTGAGAATAATTGACACACCCCGTCCCGAAGGAGGGCATGCTGGCCGTCACGTGAGAGTGACGTAACCATTTACACAGTACGGAAGCTTTAAAGATACAACTTCTAAAATGAAACACCCGAAAGGTGAGTCCTAATTTTTGTCCATTCTGTCAGAACACCGTTGAATTTCCTCGTAGTCACCACACCTTTGCAATTCTTGAACCTGGAGGGGCGCAAAACAAAGTTGAGTGGGTCAGCAAAACAATTCTTTTCCAAATCCAAACACTTCTCAAAACTTTGTAACCCCTCGCCGTAAAACAAGTATAATTTCCCAGAAAATAACATATATACGTATGTATAGATATGCCAGTCATGCTCAGAGATATATCATTCATGCTCATAAATATGCCATTCATGCTCGAGAATATGCCACAACGGAAACTCATAATCAAATGTAAGTGCTCAAGCGTAATTCACATCAATAACATATAATCTGGCAGCCGGGAGTCACCTAACGTGACATGTACCGCTGCACCTAGAGCTCCACGCTCAACTCAATCACTGAATCTGCACACGAGTCGGAACCACCTAACGTGGTCTGCACGACAAGCTGGGTGTAATATATATGTATGCTCTAGTGCTACGATCACGTGAAGCTGGCGATAAATCGCGGGTCACCTACAAGTCGGAACCACCTAATGTGATCTCTACGACAGGCTTGCACCTAACTTGGATCCAAGACGAGCATGCGGTGCTGGTGAACATACACGTGAAGGCTGTGCCCTGGCCCTGGACGGGAGCACTAACACCGGGGGTGCAGATTATGAGCTCTCTAAACCTCTCAAACTACCATTGCATAATAAACAGGAATGCATAACCACATGAATACCGCTTACCTGGCACTTACCTGTGCCTCCTCAGCACCATGCAACAGTATGCATAATTATGGTAATGCACATATTAAAATATGATGCATATATGACAGGATATATAATTCGTATTTCTTTTAAAATACGTTTTCTGGGAAATATGTCAAGCATACGTATATATATATATATACTGAAAAATAACTGCCCACTCACTGATCACATCGACGTCTCATAGGTCCCTGAACCTCCCCTAGCTTGGTTACATTCTTCCTCTGTAATATTTTCACCTATACAAAAAGTAACCAAATTGACGTTATTTAACGCACATACACCAAACATTCGTCCATAACTTTCTCATACGTTACTCAATTTGGGTGTATGAATATACCACGGTGATCTACACGACGTCACGAACGCGTGACAATTTTCAGAACTCAATTTGGAGCTCTCACGCGCCCCCACGCGCACTGTTCACGCGCTGCCCACGCGCGCGTCTTCTTCCTCGCGTCGCCGGACTGGTTTCGCCGGAGATGGTGTTTTGCCGGAATTTCTGGGTAAACTTCAAAGTGTCATAACTTCTTCATTTCTTAACCATTTTCGACGTACTATATATCAAATTGAAGGTATTGACGAGACGAACACATCCATACCTGTCTCGACCCCTAACTCGCCGTGGTTTCGCCGGAAAAAGCCCCGACAGCTCCGGCCAAACTTTGAACTTGTCATTCTCCGTGTTCCTATGTCCATTTTTCACGTAATTTATACCAAAATGAAGCCCTAAACATAATCTACCACGTTGGACTAGTTTTAGGGCCTAAAAACAACGGAATCAAACTTTTCCAAAAATACGAAAATTCGGCCAAACTTACAGTTCGTGATCCCGACGTCCAAATCCTTCAAACGAAGCACTCCGAGCTTCCTTAGGACCTCACCAAGCTTCCTACAAGCTTCAAAACCCCAGAAAACATCAAGTTTTACGTGTGCATGAACAGTGCACACGCACAGTGAAATTGAAATCCAAGTTTTCCGAAGTGAAACTCACCTGAAATTGGTACCATCGTGTTCGTGTGGTCTTCAGGAGTACGATGGTGGTCTTAGATCCTTCGTTGGTATAGTTTTAGGGTGGTTTTGTGGGTGGTCCGTGTGAGTTCGAAGGAGAGAGAGAGAACTGACAGAGAAAATGAGAGATTTGTGAGGGAGGAGAGAGAGAGAGAGACAAGGTACGGGAATGAGGGAGAGATTTGAGGGAGGTGGGATCCTACCCAATCCCCAAATCATCAAGTTACAACATATTTTACGCCCCTTAGTCCTGTTTAAGGGCATTTTCATAATTTCACGTCCTCAGAATTAAAATTCCGGGACGGGTTGTGACAACCTTCCCTCCTTATAGAATTTCGTCCCCGAAATTCCAACAACCAACTTAATCAACTAAACTCATACAATAGCTTCGGATAAATCTCTCTCATCCGATTCTCCTTCTCCCACGTAATTTCTTCCACTGAATGCTTTCTTCACAAATTCTTTACCAATTACACTGTCTTAATTCTCAATACATTCTTTTTCCAATCCAAAGTCGTCCTTGGTTCCTCAACCAGTTTAATCCGGATTAATTCTCAACAGTTGCACCGGAACTCCATGTGACGAATCTGCCACCTAGTGACAACGCATCGAAATATAATACATTATGCACCTTAGCAAATTCTGAAGACATCACCACTTGTATGCAACTTCATCGATTCCTTTAGTGGTCAAAAACGGTCTGATGTGTTTAAGACTTATTTTGTCTCCTTTCCAAATCTCACTATTTCTTTTCGTGATGAAATTTCTAAAAATGTTGAATCATGAAACACATCATGCTCTTACAATAACTCTGGAAGTAATTCAAGCAACTTCACCTACTCTTCGATGATCACATAAGGTCCGATGTACTTAGGACTTAATTTGCTTTCCTTTCCAAGCCGAATCATACTTTTCTAAAGTGAAAACTTCAAAATTATAAGATCATCTACGTTAAACACTCGATTAGTGACATGTTCAACTATTAATCTCTTTTGCCATTCCTGGCTACTCTCAGGTTAAACTTAATCACCTGAATAATTTGAGAAGACTCATCCATAGTTTTAGGGCCTACCAAAACTCTTTCGTGATCGAATCTTCTCTATCCAGAAGCATTTCTTCCACAAATCAGCCAAAAATCGACACATTTCATGGTCCTTATGGCGTTACTTTGGAAACTGCGCAACCAATATACTTAAGAAACTCAGCAGTTCCGTAACCCAAATCTCTTCTCCATAAAACATATAAGTACTGTTGCACTGTGGTTGTTACTCAACACTGGAGTAAATGTACTAACTTGGTACATTGATCAACTATCACTTCAAGTTCAATCATAACCATCCTATTCTCGAACTCAGCAATCTTTCTTTTTCCCTTCTTTCTTTGCCTTGGTTAATTCTTAATTTTCGTCGTTAACCATTTGAGTCTTGAGTACGACCTTACTAAAAAGACTTAACTTGAAAATTAGCAATTACAACTTCTTCTCAATCTTTCATTCTCAACTTTACTTCAGTTGATTTCCAATCCACAAGAAGACAATCTTGGCAAGCGTGCCAGACATTAATTCTTACCACCGTCTTTTCACCAAGTGCATCAGCTAGAACAATTTTACGATCACCCTGGTCGTACAATCATGTTCATTAAACAATTCAATCCACCTTCCCTGCCTTATATCAAAATCCTTCCAAGTAATGGATATTGGAGACTTTTTGGATTCGTAAAAAAAAAACTTGCATTCTTACCAAATATAATGTCTTCATAACTTCACAGCAAGGATGGTAATCATGACTTTCAAATCACCAGTAGGGTAATTCATTTCATGAGGTTCCTTTTGTCGTGAAACGTATGTAATCACCCTAACATTTGCATCAACATGCATCCAATACCATTCAAGAAATATCACTAAAAATTTATGATTACCACTATCTTCTGGGAGTACTAAAATACGTGCATGAGTGAGGAATACTTCAACTGTTGAAACCTTTACTCATAATTATCATCCCACTCAAACTTAACCTCTTTTCTCGTCAATGGCAAGGCAATGACTGAAAAAATCTTTCACGAACCGTCCATGATAGCTTGTTAAGCTAGGATAACTCTGAATCTTAATCACGATTCGTGGTTGTTCTAAATTCTCAATTTCTGCTACCTTTTAAGAATTCACTTGAATACCTGAAGCAGATATAACATATCTCAAAAATGCTACTTGATTCATCCAACCTTGGCATTTGCTAAACTTAGCATACAATCGACGTTCCCTCGATCTTTGCAATACCAATTTAAGATGTTTAGCATACTTTGCTCTAGTCTTATCAATCCTTTCAATAGCAATAACAACAAATCGGTCTAGATATCATTGGAATACTTTATTCGTCAAATTCATAAAGTAGTAGATGCATTCGTCACTCCGAATGGCATCACCAAACTTGAAATGACCTTAACGAATCCTGAAAGTTATCATAAGGGCATCCTCATCGATAATCTTCAACTAATAATATCCAGACCTCAAGTCCATCTTAGAAAATATACAACCACCTAGAAGCTGATCAAACAACCATCAATGTGAGGTTAGGAATAACGGTTTTCAATTGTTACTCGATTCAACTGCTTATAATCAAAGCACAGCCTTAATGTCCATTTTCTTTCTCACCAATAAACTGGGGTTCCCCCAACGTAATGTACTAGGTTGAATAAAAACCTTTATCAACCAATTTCCAATTCTCTTAGTTCAAAAGGCAACATTCTATAATATAAGGTTTGTACCTGGAGACAAATCCATAGTGAACTCTACATCTTTAACTGGCGGCAATCTAGGTAAATTCTCAGGGAAAACGTCAGGTAAATGTTTGACTACTCCCACTTCTTCCACACTACTAGAAGTGACATCTTTTAGCACCACATAAGATAAGTATCCTTGGCAGCCTTTTGATAATAATCTCTTTGCTCTCACAGCATAATTAACGGTCTGCCTCTCTTCACTTTGCATACTTACAAAAGTAATCTCTAGTCATCCAGACCGATGGAAAATAACATATAATCAATTCAACATTCGGCTATAAACATAGCTCATACTCTTTCATTCTAATCAACTCAGCCCTCGGCTGCATATATAGTTCATAACCAACTCATCATATCATGTATATAACATAATATGCTCTAGAATAACATTGAAATCCACAATCTAATGGAACAAAAGTAGCTAGCAACAATACATACTCTACTAATACTGAGCACTCTGAATAAGTACGATACTAACATAGGATAACCTATCGGTTTACTTGCTTAACGAATCCACGAATAAGTTATTAATATTACGGTCTGCAGCCCGCAATACTGATAAATCATCGTTGTCTCGATAAGTAAGCAACAACTCTCGAGGGTGTAATATTACTATTTTGCCACTCATTAGGAAATACATACACACGTCTCAACCGCGTTTATTTACTACTTTCAAGGCAATAACATTAATAACGTAAAATTTCTACATTAACAACAATTAGACTTTAGCTAAAACATTAAGAATAATTATCGTACCCCTAATCAAATCCAAATAATTCTGAGTATCTTGCAGTGATGTGTGGTTAACACATCCCTGGGCTTGTTGTTGTCTCCCACAACCTCTATTAGTGTAAATACTTCTTTCATGTACACCACGGCCTAACTGACCATAATTAATAGATCCAGGAACTTGTTGGATCGGCGCCAGTTGTGGCAAAGAAGACTGCTAGGGCTTCTGTTGGCTTTGGACATAATTTGTAGTTCTATGTCCCATCTATCCACTTGTAAAGCGTCCAATGCTTTCTCGCCTACATTCTCAAAGGTGTCCATTATTGTACCTACAGCACAAAGGTACATTTCCTTTACCAAAATCACCTTGTCTCTGAGATCTGGGATTACCAATACATCTATCACTTCGCCTCTGGTCAATGGCATTAAAACCTTTGCCAAAAGAACTAGAATTAGCTTCACTTCTTTTGAAGTTCTGAATCTTTCGAGGTTCTCGAGATGACTGGCCTTTATCCTTGTCATCATTCCTCTGATCCCCATTCCTTTATTCTTCTTCATCATTATCGATGGACATAATCTCCGAGTCCTTAAGGCTCAACAACATCTTGTATACTACTGGTAAGAATTACAATGGATAGTGGTCACCCAAAATACCACTGCCTTATGCCACCCAGCCTAAAACAATACAACACTTCAATCAAAATAACAGCAACATTCGAATGGGACGAGGCAAGTCTGAGAACTTTCTATAATACTCATTGATCGTCAGCTTTCCTTATCTCACATTTGCAAACTCTTACTTTCTACCATCATAAGATGCCAAAGGAAATAATTCTTTTCTTTAAACAAGTCCTTAAACAATTCTCAACCGGCTGTTTCCTCCGGTGACAACGAATTATACTCCTGTTTCCACCAGGATACAAGTTCATAACTCAAACCAGGTAGTCGTCTCAACCCTTCTGTCAAAAGGAAGATTCCTTTGACTTGCATAATCTAAAACATCTTTTCCAATCGGTTAATCCATCACTTTGCTCCCTCAGGTTCATCATTTCATAAGGTGATTCAAATTCAACTCATAACCCATCTTAAAATGTCCCTTTTTGATAATATACTGAATCACCAAAATAATAGTTTCCCCTAATAGCTAAATCAGGGAGACTAAATTCCTCTAACTACGTGGTTTGCTACGAGGCGGTGTAGTTCTGACAGAATTCACTAGAACTTCTCAAGATGTCCAAGATTGAAACCTAGGCTCTGATACCAACTGACACACCCCGTCCCGAAGGAGGGCATGCTGGCCGTCACGTGAGAGTGACGTAACCATTTACACAGTACGGAAGCTTTAAAGATACAACTTCTAAAATGAAACACCCGAAAGGTGAGTCCTAATTTTTGTCCATTCTGTCAGAACACCGTTGAATTTCCTCGTAGTCACCACACCTTTGCAATTCTTGAACCTGGAGGGGCGCAAAACAAAGTTGAGTGGGTCAGCAAAACAATTCTTTTCCAAATCCAAACACTTCTCAAAACTTTGTAACCCCTCGCCGTAAAACAAGTATAATTTCCCAGAAAATAACATATATACGTATGTATAGATATGCCAGTCATGCTCAGAGATATATCATTCATGCTCATAAATATGCCATTCATGCTCGAGAATATGCCACAACGGAAACTCATAATCAAATGTAAGTGCTCAAGCGTAATTCACATCAATAACATATAATCTGGCAGCCGGGAGTCACCTAACGTGACATGTACCGCTGCACCTAGAGCTCCACGCTCAACTCAATCACTGAATCTGCACACGAGTCGGAACCACCTAACGTGGTCTGCACGACAAGCTGGGTGTAATATATATGTATGCTCTAGTGCTACGATCACGTGAAGCTGGCGATAAATCGCGGGTCACCTACAAGTCGGAACCACCTAATGTGATCTCTACGACAGGCTTGCACCTAACTTGGATCCAAGACGAGCATGCGGTGCTGGTGAACATACACGTGAAGGCTGTGCCCTGGCCCTGGACGGGAGCACTAACACCGGGGGTGCAGATTATGAGCTCTCTAAACCTCTCAAACTACCATTGCATAATAAACAGGAATGCATAACCACATGAATACCGCTTACCTGGCACTTACCTGTGCCTCCTCAGCACCATGCAACAGTATGCATAATTATGGTAATGCACATATTAAAATATGATGCATATATGACAGGATATATAATTCGTATTTCTTTTAAAATACGTTTTCTGGGAAATATGTCAAGCATACGTATATATATATATATATACTGAAAAATAACTGCCCACTCACTGATCACATCGACGTCTCATAGGTCCCTGAACCTCCCCTAGCTTGGTTACATTCTTCCTCTGTAATATTTTCACCTATACAAAAAGTAACCAAATTGACGTTATTTAACGCACATACACCAAACATTCGTCCATAACTTTCTCATACGTTACTCAATTTGGGTGTATGAATATACCACGGTGATCTACACGACGTCACGAACGCGTGACAATTTTCAGAACTCAATTTGGAGCTCTCACGCGCCCCCACGCGCACTGTTCACGCGCTGCCCACGCGCGCGTCTTCTTCCTCGCGTCGCCGGACTGGTTTCGCCGGAGATGGTGTTTTGCCGGAATTTCTGGGTAAACTTCAAAGTGTCATAACTTCTTCATTTCTTAACCATTTTCGACGTACTATATATCAAATTGAAGGTATTGACGAGACGAACACATCCATACCTGTCTCGACCCCTAACTCGCCGTGGTTTCGCCGGAAAAAGCCCCGACAGCTCCGGCCAAACTTTGAACTTGTCATTCTCCGTGTTCCTATGTCCATTTTTCACGTAATTTATACCAAAATGAAGCCCTAAACATAATCTACCACGTTGGACTAGTTTTAGGGCCTAAAAACAACGGAATCAAACTTTTCCAAAAATACGAAAATTCGGCCAAACTTACAGTTCGTGATCCCGACGTCCAAATCCTTCAAACGAAGCACTCCGAGCTTCCTTAGGACCTCACCAAGCTTCCTACAAGCTTCAAAACCCCAGAAAACATCAAGTTTTACGTGTGCATGAACAGTGCACACGCACAGTGAAATTGAAATCCAAGTTTTCCGAAGTGAAACTCACCTGAAATTGGTACCATCGTGTTCGTGTGGTCTTCAGGAGTACGATGGTGGTCTTAGATCCTTCGTTGGTATAGTTTTAGGGTGGTTTTGTGGGTGGTCCGTGTGAGTTCGAAGGAGAGAGAGAGAACTGACAGAGAAAATGAGAGATTTGTGAGGGAGGAGAGAGAGAGAGACAAGGTACGGGAATGAGGGAGAGATTTGAGGGAGGTGGGATCCTACCCAATCCCCAAATCATCAAGTTACAACATATTTTACGCCCCTTAGTCCTGTTTAAGGGCATTTTCATAATTTCACGTCCTCAGAATTAAAATTCCGGGACGGGTTGTGACAATAATGCTTAGATATATTATTAAATAAATAATAATATTTTAGAATTATATTATTATTTGATTTTGTTTCATTGAATAACGGAATATATCTTCAATTATGAAAGCTTAAAGGTAAGGATCTTCAATTCCATTGTTTTATCTCCTTGCCATGATGGAGCTTGAAAAGATTGTAATTAGCTGCTCAGATGTTCTTTTGTTGGTTGACTTGAGCATGAAACAAATATGGACTTTGCCAATTTAATAAGGGCATTGTTGTCAATAGTGAATAAAGTTTACTTGTGGCTCGAAGATTTTCTAAATTAATTTGGCATCACATATTTTACATATGGTTTGAAAAATGTTTGGTTCATTATGTGTGACGAATCATTATTCTTTATTAACAATTAGAGTCTGATATAAGAAGTTGTCCCTTTATAAAAAATTAATGTTGTAGTTGTATTTAGACTGAAATAAGCAATAAAAAGTCAAATGTTCATAAGAATTAAATGAAGCAACAAAGCATAAAGTAGGACGACCACACATGAACTCTAATCCTAAATAAAATTTTTGTGAATGCTCCCTAAATTATCAAATTTAAATACTAAAAATGGCTCAAATTTTAATCGAGCGATCCAGTTTGGTCATGTTTGGGGATTGTCGCTTCAATTTACTTATGATTCAAAATTAGTACTAGAGAGAGAAATGGGAAGGTTGACAAATGACAATCATTCAAATGCCCGACACGTCCTTTCATAAACAAATAAATAAAAAAAGCTTAAGCCGTGACCCCATTGACGTTTCAATTGAAAGCTTAGTAACTCCTAATAATGATAATTATTTTATTTTTTACCGTTCCTATTTCTTTACTTATATTCTTCTCTATCGAGGCAGAAGAAGCTCATATCGTCTGTGAATATTTAGCATGAGGCTAAGCTTAATTAATTGACGAAAAGTATTAACTCAATTATTTTTAGCAAAAATTACGTAATCAAGTTAGTTAAAACAAAGTGTTTTCCTTTCAAAACATGGCACCCAAGTTAGCGAAGCACTTAGCTGGCTGCTGTGCCGGCTTTCGATTGTTCCGAGCCAACAAAACAATGCATGAATACTCTCTCTTTCAACCCACTATTTACATCAATATATTCCTCATTCATATCCTGCTCAACCTATATATACCAACAAAAAGCAAGGGACCATGGAAACCGGCTTTTCCTTAGCAAGAACAAACAAAGCCCACCAAAACTGCCTCCCTTGCATGGCCTAATTATACTCTGAGGCTTGCAATTATCCAAAAGTATCTTCTACACGCCTACTTCGGACAAACAAACAACAAAAAAACTCTTGCAAGTTCGTAGTGAATAACATTGTACGGGGTGTGAAATTCAACGAAAAAGCAAAGCTACATTGAAAGGGTGAACAAATGTTGTCATGGAAACAAGAGGCAATTGCCTTCTCTTGGTTCCTCAACCAAAATGCTATTGTCAACTAACACCCACATGTCTGATTGCTGCGTGGTGATGCCGACACGCTAACTCGACTCACACGCATGGACCACTGGACTTGGATCTTTATCAAAAGCTTTTGGCATACCAAACCAAACCACACGGACCATGTGCTTCTCCTTTTAATACTTTGATTTGATCAACACGTTCCCATCCTCATCCGGCCAATACAAATGCAATAATATGTGATCCGACTGTACAAGGCCCACTCCCTAACACAATCTGGCCGCAGCGACTACATCATATGAAAGATCCTCTAGACAACTACCTAGGGGAGTCGATCCACAAGGAAAAGACAGATGGCACTCAAAATTAAACCGAACTAGGCTGGCTTGCTGCCTTCTCCTCCTGCAAGGTTTCAAATCGAGTTAGAAGCAGCAAAAACGACGTTTCATCTGGATAAAATAATAATCATAAGAGACTTTTACAATTAAAGAAAATCCTATTAACCTAAAGTGGGGTAACAGTCACAGCCCCAATATGGATTCATATATTCTTCTACTACGCACAGATCTATCTGATGACAATCTGCCCTGTACATGACTAATACTTAAATGGCATATGTAGTATAATGTGGCGGCCGAAAGAACGCATGAGCCAAGATAATTTTTGAGTATCTTGTTGAAAATGAATAAGAAAACAGCAGAGGAGCATAACTACTAATGAGGGAATAAAAAGGCCTTTGTCAGCTGGATGACTAAAATCATTTTACACAAGATTTATAATGCTTGCACATGATACAAGTATGGGTACGGTTATATAACAACCACAAATCATCATCCAATCAAATTTTGGGTAGAGAGGTGTACAAATGAATTATCCAAATTCTCAACTGAGAAATCTCTCTGTCAAAACCAAGAAAACAACCTCAAAACGCCACCCAACCAAATACTAAATGTAGATAAACATGTGAATGGAATGTTTTGGTCAGTTGGTGTTGCTGGGAGATAACAAAAGGGTAAGAATGAAACCATGAGATCTGCTATACCAAATAAATTAACCAAATGGCATAATAGTGGGGATCACAACCCGCGTCATCAGACACGTTATGCTACCAAATTTCATATAACTGGTCAGAAACATATTCATGGATACTTACATCTACGAACTGAAACGATCTGACTACAGATGGTTTTGCCTTAGAAGATTCGACATCAGAAGTAGATCTGTTGCCACTGCAATATTTTCCCTAGAAACCAATAACAGAAGTTTCAATTTAGTAACAGTTGACGAACAGTCGTTGCTACGTTCTAACAGACAAGAACAGTATTATGAATATCTAAAGAAAAAGAAAGTATCAGCAGTTCCAAATTTCAAACACCAACATATATCTCAGTAGTTCACATCATAGCAAAACGTAATTCTCCAAACTAGATGTTGCAATAGTACACCATATATTCCTTTCATTCTTTCGCCAGGTTGATTACTTTCAAAACCATCATGCACAGAACCATAACAAGATGCACTATGAGAACATTAGCATTCATTTTTCATTTTATTATCATGTGATTTCAAAGACACTTCAGTCGAATGCCCCTTAACAGACTCATTCCTTTGAGTTAACCCTCAATGAAGTTCATACACAAATTAAATCCTTTACCCTTTCCTAATTACCTTTCCATATTATATTTCTGAATATACCTATCAGCTTTGCTGCCGGAGATTTCTTGGAACACACCGTAATGGTTGTTCCTTTGACTTTACATACGGGCTTTCTTTCTTGTTTTCTTCCATGTACATATTTGTACAATCTTGCGTTAGGTTGTTTTTGACAACCTCCTTCCTTTTAGACTATTATGACCATTATTGTATATTTTGTAATAATTATATGTAAACGAGAATCAAAGCTGGAAAAAGAAGTGGTAGTCATGATGTCCCCCCTTCCCCAACCCCCCCAATGAAATAAACAAATAAAAATCGGAAGTGGAGGAAAACATTCTCACATCCCAAACAAGGATCTGAATAAAAACCTTCTTACATCGTCAAATGCGTCATAGTATTTCAAATCAATATGTTCTATGCTTAAATCATGATGGACAAAGTAAAGTCAACAAAAATTATACTACAACAAAACTTGTATTAAAAACATATTCATTCATTGGATGGATAGACACGAAAGTATTTGCAGAGTTCGTGTCTTTTATTCCTTGCATCTTTCAATATTCTATGGTAAAGTCTACATTTATGTGATTGCATGCCGCCATGATGAACTCAGATCGAAGTGGAGGAGTGAACAAATTGCACAGAACCCCTCTTCTTCAATTGCCACACAAACAGTCACAAAAGACCCTTCTTGTGGACACCATAGTGACTTAATGATCAAAGCCAGTTTTAGAAAGGGTTTTCCGGGGTAGAACAGCAAGATCATCAATTCTCAAATCTTGCCTAGCCCACCATCCAACTAGTATCCAAGTCCAAGAAAAATCTTGCATGATTCCTTTGATGCATAGGACCTTTACTTATTTAAAGAAAATGTTTTGGGTCACCAGTGGCGTTAGTTCCACTGGAAAATTCAAGACCAACATGCATGGTTGTCCAGACCCACTTAGAACAATTGATATCAAACTTTCAGCCCCCTCTCCTAGAATGCAAATGTTAACAGAGCAGAAAACTTTCCCAGAGTTACGTCCAGAACAGACACGTTACGTCTCTTTTCAAGGAAGCCTAATTAGAATTTCATTCCTTAACCAAGTTGGATACGAAATTCACAAATCACAAATATCAAGGATAGCGTTGTTGTTCATGATATGCGATCTCATGTCCTCTTATGAATATTCTTGCCTCCAAGAGGACTTTAATGGTCATCTATATATGACAGACCAAGTTACATACATGATACATTGCAACCCTTGAACTCTTAGTGCTCCAGCTACCTTCTACATCACACTTTTTTGAAGCTATACATATACTTGATTGTTATAGTTTCCTTGGAAGAGTGAGACTCATTAATCTTTAAAAAATACTTTATAGTTGTCTTGTAGGTAGCTATTCATAGAATCTTGCCTAGTAAATTTTGACAACCTCAAGTGGGCCAATGTCTACATTCCTTCATTATACCCACTCTCTCGTGTCCCTCCCCTACTCTTATTGTGAATCCCAAATATTAGGGTTTTAAAACTGCACTTCTCACCAAAGAAATTAAAAGAGATTAATTGTATGTCACTAACTTCACTAACTTTTGTCCTGCAATTGTATACTCTAACTTCTTGGTTCTTATATAATTGTATGTCACTAACTTCACCAACTTTTAACATCCATGACTTAAGGAAACATGGATTAAATGAGATTTTAAACAGATCAGTGGGTGAAGCTATACAATTTGTACAAACAGAAATACAAAAGAAGATGAAGTTGCTCCATAGTAAGTTTGTTAATCGTTACTGATGCAAACAAAGTGAGGTGATAACATATTGCAATTGTAGATGCAAGAGAAGAACAAGGAAAATGAAAATTTGAGCAGGCATGTAATGTAAGAGAGAGAGAGAGAAGACAAACCTGACCATCTTCAAAGAGTGAGCAGTAATAAGCGGGGTCATAGATAGCGCCTCCTATAGCATCACTAGAATCTGAAGTTTGTCTGGGTACAACGGGGGTAGTAGGACTCAAGAAACTATTTCTTAAATCAAAATCAGCTTCTCTAGGAGTTGCACTAGTGTCTACATAGGAAAGGCCCAACCTGTAGATCTGAATCCATAACAAGGAGGAGGATAACCTGATGGAAAAGCCGATAATTTGCATGGCCAGAGTGAGCTTTACAGAGAAGATGTACAAAGTTGTATTACTCCCACTTCCACGAGAAAGGTTCCTGCAGAACACAAAGTTACAAACATAAAAGCATCAGAAGCAAGCATACATATATATACATATACATACATTAAAATGCAAAATGGAAAAAATGGAAAATGGTACCAGATTTCGTGAGTGAAGAGAATGAACCAGATGACATCGAGGAAGATGGCGCAGACGAGAAGGACGGCGTATGTGCGGCCGAGGCTCTGACTGCTGCTCTCGATTGCGACGAGGGCGAACAATGCAATGGCCAGATTTATCAGCAAAACCCCGGTATACAGTGCACCAAGCGATCCCACCAATGCGCACCCAATCTATACATACATACGTACATCAAAGGATCGATCTTTAACACGTTATATGAATCAATCATTCATTCGTATTGATTTGGTTTTGTAATTGAAACGAAGATGAAGCGAAAGGAAATGAAAGGAAAGGAAAGGAGAGGAACCTGAATGTAGAGGAGAATGACGGCCAATGATTGAAGCCTATCGTAATCACGAAGCCATGGCTGTATTCGATCACGCAATGATTCGCAAAGCATCATAAACTCCTCCTACCCCCTATCCCCCTACACCGGTCCCACCCTCCGCCTCTCTCTCTCTCTCTCAAATCTTCTTCTTCCTTCTTTCCTTCTTTCACTGGTTCTTCTTCTAGTTATGATTCACAAAGCCTGTCGTAATACCAAATTTCAAATGTGAATTGATTTAGGGGTCTTTTAGGGTCGGTCTGATTTGCCATTTGCCTCGCAGTTTGAGGCCAACTCATCTCTTCATCTTCCTCCTCCTCCTCCTCCTCCTCGTCCTTGTTAAACTAACTTTTGCTAATTTTCTCAGTTTCTTTCTTTCTTTCCCCTTCACTTTCTTCTCATTTTCCCCTCGTCTTGGCTAAGGCTTTGGCAATTGGTAAGAACACAACTTACTTTCCTCCACAAGCATGTATTTTTACCAATTTACAATGTTGGATAATCATTTGACCATTAGCTAGATAGATCTAGCATTTGTGTCATGTTTTGTGTGTTCGTATCGTTTTCGTATCATATCTGATATCGTGTTGTATAACATCTGTTAAAGTAAACATGTAATATAACCAGACTCGAAATCGACCTATTAATATTATCAGGTAATATGACCCGATCCGTTAAATTTTTTTTTAATCAATAAATAATGAAAATGAAAAACATAATTTGACAAAAATATATATATATATCTATAACATAACACTAAATTAGTATATGCATACCACATTGTCACATAAATATTTAAAAAAAAAAAAAACATTTGTCTTTCAAGTATTACATAATTCAAAATAAGAGCCTAACGAAAAAACCATTAGTACATTACTATAAAATATCAAATGTTAAGGATATGCAAAATGAAGGAAGTTGTATTTCAAAGTTGAGAAACCTTACACTTTTATATATGCTTTCACATTTTCTAAACATGTACATTAATGAGTAAGAATTTTATTTATTTTGAACTCCCTAAGGTTTGTATGGTTTTAAAAATTCAAATAATGATGGACTTATACTCATAGCGTAGATGATGCAATCCTGAGCCTTTGCATATTTTTTTCACATTTTTTTGCACCTGTAAATTAATTATTATAATTTTTTTTAATGTGTTTGGTATTTTTAAATTACTTGATACTTTTATTTTTAATGTATTTTATAATTGTTTAATCTCACTCTTTAGTATACTGTAAAAATAAACAAATAAGTAAAACTTATTTACCACCATCGCTTAAAGATGTACCAGAAAATTTGAAAAAAAATTGAAAAAAAAAAAGAAGAGAAAATACTACCAGTATCAGGGAGTCCACCACTAAACCCCATTTCCGCCTGTAGCTGCACCAGCGAAACCACCACCACTTGAAGTTGTACTAGAAAATCCACCACCGCCTGAAGCTGTAGCAGTAAAACCACCATTGTTTGAAGCTGCAACAATGAAACCACTACCACTTGAAGCCAAACAAGCAAATTCACCACCACCAGAAGTAGCACCAACAAACCTGTGGATGCAAATTTTCGCCTTCTTCTCCTTTGACGAAAATGCATCTGCAAAATAATAACCTAAGATCAAGGCTAAGAGCCTCACGCGCCCACGATGAATGGGGCTTTGGCGGAAGAATCCCCAATGCCAAAGTTAGAATTTGAGAGATAAAGTGTTTAAAGAATTTTAGGGAGAGAATGGCCTCGCATTTTGGTGTGAAGATGGAGCTATATATAGGGGTGTTGCCGACTCTATTTGGAGAAATAATATCTTGCAATTAATTTGGTAATTAATCCCAATTTGAAAAGAATAATTGGGAGTTACCTTGTGGATGAGGATTTGATGAGGAGTGATGAGAGGGTTTTGAATAAATATTATTTTGATCACTTTTGACTCTTCCTTGATTGAGCCGTTATTGTCTGTTGCATGCGCGTAGGAATCCCGGTGTGCCTTGAGGGTAATTTTGTCTTTTTATCCCTAAAGTACACGTGTCGCCTCCATAATTTGCTTGATTATTTTTAGCTCCACAAATGCCCCCACACATGCTGGGCTGCTCGCAGGAAAGGGCAATAGGTGTAAAGATCTCCAACTTTGATGCAGATTCCCACTTGAACTTGGAATTAGATTTTTCTAGCAAAAGGGAATACATTGCCTCCAAAGCCTATTTAAGCCTACCTTAAGCAAATGATTAAATCAACTTTGGAGGGCAATTAGTTATCCCTACAAGAAAGAGAGAAAGCTAGAGGATATTTGTTCCCCCTCCTCTAGCACTCTTCTTTGCTTGCTCGTGCAAAGAACCATCTTTCGTTGATTTCTTTATCTTCTCTGTGCTGCACCGATGTAAGAAAAACTTAATTTCCTTTGTTTTCTTCTTGAGTGGTGCTGCTACGGGGCAGTCATCGGGGTGGTATGGCACATTGGCTGGCAGAGTCCAGGAGTCGGCTTGGAATAGGTCGAAGATGTGGTGTGACGGGGGCCACAACTTATGCTGCTCATCTTGACTGAAGCCAAAGGCTGGCTCAACATGGGCTGAGGAAATGGCGTGGCATATGCCATGGTTTGGGCTACCACGTCTGGGTTGCTTGCCAAAAATGAGGAAACTGCTTGAGTTTGATTTTTCAGCTGTCGTAGATGGAGCAATAAAAGATGGAGCTGCCAAGATCAGAGTTGCTGAAAATGAAGTGTCGGATGAGCAAATTGTTGAGTGCAAAGTGGTTGTTACCCCCTGACCATTTGCTGCTTAGCTGGTCTTCAAGTATTCAATCTTTTTTGGGGAATTGGTTACCATTTCGCACTGGAGAGCAATTAGTTTAACCTCTTGCACTGGAGAGTAATTAGTTTAACCTCTTACATTGGAGAGCAGACCCATATGAGTGTCGAGGAATTGGTTTACCTTCTCGCACTGGAGAACAATTAGTTTATCATCTCACACTGGAATGCAATTAGTTTATCCTATTGCACTAGAGAGCAGACCCATATGGGTGTCAAGGAATTAGTTTACCCTTTCGTACTGGGGAACAATTGGTTTATCCTTTCGCACTAGAGAGCAAACCCTTAGGGGTGTTGGGGAATTGGTTTACCATCTCGCACTGGAAAGCATGAAAATCGTTGTTGTAAGCGTATTTGAGGAAAACTAGACTGCTAAACAACTGAAATAATCCTCAGCCTGTAAGGTCTTGTTTAACGATCTGCTTGAGACTTCAAACTGCTTGTGGAACCCGTGTAAAGATGTACGTGGGAAGCGCGGTGAGCTGTTCCCAGACTTTCTTCAAGTATTGTGCCATCATTAGATGTTTCGTCGTGTGCCCTTTTGAGGCTTGATTGGTGATCAGCTGAGAATTTGAATGGATTGCAAGCTTCATCACCACTAAGTTTTTAGTTAGCAGAGGCTGCTAATAAAGCCTTGTCTTCTGCTCCGTCATTTGACACTTTGAAGTTTGGAGTATCATGGGCTTGGTCGGCGCGAGCCACATGGCAAGATTGGCACGGCTAAGAGCCGTGGTGTAAGATCGGCACAATTAGAAGTAACGGTGACATATCAAGGGTTGCCGGGAGCCGTGGAGCAGGTAAGCACAGTTGTGAGCGCAGAGCTGGGGTTGGTTTAGGCCAGGTTGTGCATAGTAGGAGGAATTGGACCACTAGGTCCGTGATGCTCGGCTACTAGACGAGCCATGCCCCCGATTTTTGGTAGTTGGGCTAGTGCATCCTTCTAGTACTCGTTTGCCATCGGCGAGCCATTAGGCTGAGCTACTACGTTTGTCAAAACAGAAGTAATATTTGTATTCGACAATCTATATGGGATAATCCCGTCTGCTTGATCTTATCAATGAAAGGTAACCCGTTTATATTGGTCATGTCTCGTCAGTAGCTTCATTAAAAATCACGCAATCGTACGGTCATCCGTCTCTCTACTTCTTCCTAAATTTGCCTTTGTTGGGGTAGCAGAGCTCTCAGCTGCCCCCAATCATGAACTATTGGTTTAGGCTGGTATTCCATGTGTTCGGCTCATCTATGTTGTGGCTGCAGTGTATGTGGTACATTAAACTTGAGCCAGATTGAGTGACTTTTTTCTCTGTCCGTCTTACTGCCTACTCCGCTGTAAGATGGATGATGCTCTTTGTGGGCCTAGCCGTGAATAAACACTTCACTTGGAAGGTTACTCATGTTGATTATCGGAGTATGGCCTCAATCGTGAATGTATTCTCGTTCGTGGGCCTAATCGAGAGTGCACGCTCTTCCACGCACTATGACGAGAGTATATGCTACCTTAGGGGCCTAGTCGGGAGTGTACATTACCAAAACGTTCGGTTAGTGACTAGTCGAATGGCTACTTGCTGAGACACAGCTGGAAAGGTTCGTCGTTTGTCCTTGTCTTATTTCAGAACACCTCGTCTGGGGCACGCTGTATCTTAGTATGCTAAAAGAGCTGATTCACCAAGGTTGTCTGCTGCACAAGGGCTCTTGTCAACTTTATAACTTATTGAGACAAGTGTCGTTCGACATTTGGGTTGGAAGAGTTCAGACGGCATGCGTCTCTTTGAGTAGTGGAAGTGTAATGGATTATGGGCGTGAGATTTGAGTTGGGATATGTCAAATCTACGGAGAAATGAGGTAAAAATACCGCCGGTTCAATCGTAGGTTCATAAATCTAAAGCCGAGACTGTTGAACTGGCCTTGGGTTAATTGTAATTGCTTGGAAGGCCACAGGAGTGGGCTAAGCCTCAGATTAGATTGCGGGAGACGGTCGGATTGTTGGGTCTAGTCGGGTCGCTAGCGTGGATTGCTCTGTGTACGGTGCGGGTGGGCATTGGGCTTAGGCTTTGCTTGAGAGGGCGCTAAGCTCGGGCTGGCCTTAGGCCCATAAGCGCTGGGCTGTTTCTCCTGCCACAGCTGCTTAGGCTTACGCTGATAAGGTAGTGGCTTGGGTTTGGCTCAGCTGCCCTACAATGTGGGCTGCAGATTGGGGCGTGCGTTAAGTGGATGAGGCTTGGGCCTACGTTATTGGGGTAGCGGCTTAGGCTACTTCTAGCGCCTAGGCTTGTTGCTGCAAAGTGGCGTGGGCCTAGGCTAGTGGCTGCCTCGCTAACCGCTTCTCAACGTGGGTTTGCTGCCATGAAGCTGACCCATTCCCCACTGCTATGGTGGTCCCCGTAGTTGTCATAGTAGTGGTGCTCCTTGGTGGCAAAGTTGCTCCTCTTGCCATTGTATTGAGCCTTGTGGATCTTCATGGTAAGGCTACATCTCGTCCTCCATCATTCGATCTGGATCTTTGAATGTAGGAAGTTCCGTTTGTCGTGGTTTCCAAATTTCCCATCATTGTATTTTTTTCTCACCTCTATTCAAAGAATTAAAAAATTCTAGGAATAAGAAAGTATGAAAAATTTGCGAACGAACGAGAAACGAGAAACTTTGAATTCAAGAGTCTTCTTCGAGCGTATGAATTAAACTCTCAATGAAAGCACCAAATTATGGATGCAAATTTTCGTCTTCTTCTCATTTGATGAAAATGTACTTGCAAAATAATAACACCTAAGATCAAGGCCAAAAGCCTCATGCGCCCACGATGAATAGAGGAGGCTTTGGCCGAAGAATCTTCGATGCCAAAGTTAAAATTTGAGAAAGAAAGTGTTTTAGAGAATTTTAGGGAGAGAATGACCTCGCATTTTGGTGTGAAGATGAGGCTATATATAGGGGTGTAGCCGGCCCTATTTGGAGAAATAAAGACTGGTTACTTATGGTGGTATTTTGTATATAATTGCAAGACATAATATCTTGCAATTAATTTGGTAAATTAATCAATTAATTTGGTAATTACTCCCAATTTGAAAAGAACAATTGGGAGTTATTTTATGGGTGAGGATTTGATGAGGAGTGATGAGAGGGTTTTGAATAAATACCATTTTGATCACCTTTGACTTTTCCTTGATTGAATCGTTATTGTTCGTTGCATGCGAGTGGGAATTTCGATGTGCCTCAAAGGTAATTTTATCTTTTTAACCCTAAAGTACATGTGTCGCCTCCATAATTTTCTTGATTATTTTTTGTTCCACAAAACCTTCCAGCAGCACCACTTAAGAAGCCACCGGAAGGAGTAGTGCTGGCAATGCCACCATTAAAACTACCGGGTGATCCAAAACCAGTACCTAGTACTAGTAGATTGGTACCAAGCTGTCTTAACTATCCAAAAGCACCATCCTAATGCTTGCTACCATTGTCCAACTTGCGTTGGCTGGCCAAACCCACTCGGAATGGGAGCTTGGGCATTACTACCACTGTACCGGTGCCAAAGCCACCAACAAACGCACCTGAATTTGTTAGCTAAGATGATTGGGAATGCCGTAAAGATTCAAAATTAAAAGATGCGGGCTAAAACAACTCTCCACTAGGAGTAGGCCTGGAGAAAAAATAAGTTGGGTTTGTTGCTGCATTGCCAAATGATCCACCAAATGGATTGGGTTTAGGAGCAGTTAGGTTAAAAGCAGAGCCAAGCCCAAACCCACCAATGCTTCCCAAACTAGTTCAGTTGTGCTACTTGAGTTTGGAGTTTCCTCATCCATGTCATTATCCTCTGTATTTTGTACATCCAAGCCATCAGTCCCACCAGTAACACTCTCTGACATTGAAAGTAGATTTGAAATGGATAATGCCTAATAGATAGCTTGCTTGTTGTAGCACCAATGTGGGCAAACTTTCCAGGCTCGCTAGGTATCACAGAAACAGATAATGAGGGAGAAAATGGAAAGTTTAGTTTTTTCTCCATCGTCAATATATATGCCGTTGTTGTGTTTAAAAGCCTATCCTCCACACTTTCTTTTGGTGGAAGTGCAGTCTCTTTATCATATGAATGTAGCATATCATTCTGTTTTTTTTTGCAATGATAGTCTGTGTAGGTACTTTACGAATTGATAGTTCTTGAATAATGTCTGATGGTAAGACAAACTTTTCCTTTATAGGAACTGAATCATACTTCCCAATATCATGTCATTGCAAAATCGTTCTGCTATCATGTTAGTTTCCTTTGTAAAATTTTGCCTGGTTGCATGCAATAATTGGGATGTTGATGGCATTTTGTGTTGTTGCGACCTAATGCCCAATACTAGGGTTTAGGACTCACATCTTTGGATCCGACTCGACGACCACAAGCCCTTAACCTATCATGAGGACCGTCACACCCAAGATCGCCTCAAGGAGCCTGATGCTTGGAACATGGTTTGAGAGGACTTGGTGCCTCAAAATCGAGGACCTAGAGACCTTATTGACGACTTGACTTAGATAGGATCTTTGAGACTCGGACTAAGAAACTTGGTGCTCAAGACCCAACCTAGGGACTCCAAGTCGAGAACTCTAGCAAAATCTTTCAAAGTCTAAGTACTGGTTTGGTACTGAGTTGATTTTATAAAAAGTGGGTACAAAAAAAAAGATGAGCTTAAAAAGGTGTTTGGTAAACACTTAAAAACTTATTTTCATAGTTTTTGGTGAAAAAAAGCTGAAAATGTGAAGCAGCAAAAATGAGTTTATTCTCATAGCATAGTAGAAACAATTTTTTTTCTTTTCAAAACACAACAATATCAAACCAACTCTAAAGGTGTTGGGTTTTGAATTTAGCTATCAAGTTAAATTATTTCTCAGTCTTGAAATCGTCAAAATTGGATTGGATTGTGATTGCAAATTAAATTGGATACATTTTTTTAATCAATCGGGAAATCCTCTAAAAACAAAATGTTGATGAGGGGTAAAGTTCTCTTTTGCACATTTTTATTCACGATTGAACGGTTAAAATTTAACTAAATAAACTTTATTTAAATCTCAGTTTTTTTAAATAATGCACATAAGATAGTTTTTTATTTCAAATTTAACAGGGAAAAATAACGTTTTTTTTTCTCTCCTCTATAGTTTTTTTTTTTTTGTTTTTTTGTTTTTTTGTTTTTTTTTTCTCTCCTCTGTGAGAGCTTTCTCTCCGCTGTGAGAGCCCTCCTCTGTGAGCGTATTTCTCTTCTTGGTGAGAGTCTGATCGAGAAACCTTGAACACATCTCCGTTCCTGTCTTTAATTCATCGACCAACCTTCTGACGCCAGATGCCTTCAACTCCCTCAACAACCCAAAACTTTCTCTCCTGGAGTGACCTTTGTGAGTTCCGCCTCTGTGCGTGTGGTTACAGGTTAGTGTTCGATCTGTGTTATGTGCTTTTCAGGTCAAGCTCTTGGGCTTGGATCTACTGGGTGGAGGGCAACTGAGTCTCTGGAAGCAGGAAGGTTGGTGGAGATAGGGCCTAGGGTGACGGAACGGGATTGGGGCTTTTCAACCTAGGTCGATCTACCCCACGAGGGCTGCAGGGGATGCTGCGATGATTTGAGTGGGGGGTTTGATTCTGTCAATTTGGTGTTGTGGGATCGGTGCGGTCTGGGGCTTCAGCTGTGGTGTTTCTTATATGGGGCGGTGGGCTTCTATCATTCTGGTAGGTAGTAGGGGGTGCTGTAAGGGTTTAGGGTGACGGCAAGGGGGTGGGGCTTCTCAATTTTAGGGTGAGTATCTCATCGAGGAGGACTGGGGTGGTTGGGGTTAATTAATTTAGGGTGACTCTCTCTTCGGGGGGGGGGGGGGGGGGGTGCTGGGGTGGACGCTGTGATTGGGTTGGGGGTTATAAAGTCTGTCAGTCTGGGTTGCGGGGGTTGGGTCTGTGGGTGGAAAGGGGTGGGGTTTCATATTTTAAAAAAGTTCCGTATCGAGGGTGGTGGGGATTGCTGAGGTGATTATATCGGGGGTGATAACTCCGATTCGATTGGGAGGAGTGGTGTAACAGCATTAAGTTTGGTCGATTGGTTGCAGTTATGAGGATACTAACGATGTGTTGACTAATTGGCCGAGTTGAAGAAAGAAATCAGCTGGTAAACTGGGTGGATTATAAGTGTGGTCTGAGGTTGTTAACAGGAAGTAAAGGTTTCTCTACGTCTCAGGCTGGGCGAGTGGGGCAGCGGTGTTTACAGAGTAATGGCGACTAGTGGGGTGGATGAACTGGTGATTCAACTGAACCAAACACTGGAGTTATCAACTATGGAGCAGGGAGTTAAATTGGTTGGGAAAGTCTTTACGCAGAAACCAGTGAACAAATGGGGAGTCAGGAATATTCTTAAAGCGGTTTGGAAAGAGCTGGGTGAGGTGGAAATAAAATGGGTAAGAGAGAATGTCTTCATTATTTCGGTCAAAGATGAAAATGTGGCTTCAAAGATCATTGAGCAGGTCCCCTGGGCAGTGATGAAGAAGGTGTTCTCGATCATGAAATGGCCTCCGGAGCTCGCCTTAGAGGAGCTGGAGTTGAATGCTGTTCCATTTTGGACTCAAATAAGGGGAATTCCACTGGGCTTAGCCTCTGTTGAGAACGTTCAGCGTGTAATCAAAGAGGCTGGGGAATTTATAGCCATGGAGGATCCCGGACACGCTCGTGGATTTGTACGAGTAGGAATTTTAGTTGATACGGAGAAGCCATTATTTAAGGGATGCTGGATTCAAAGGGAGTCAAATAAGGAAACCTGGGTGGAATTTCGGTATGAACGGCTTCAAGATTTCTGCTACAAGTGTGGACGGATTGGGCATATAAATACAGAATGCTCCGCTGAGATGTCTGGAGAAGGGGAGGTGGCGTATGGCGAGTGGATTAAGGCGCCGCCGATAAGAGAGGTGGTGATACCAATGAGAGTGGAGTGTGTGGGCAGGGGGGAACGCCGGCAGGCCGGGGCGGTGCGCGGACCGGGCTTCACGTCTGCACAGAATCAAGGTAAAAAAAAATGGCGTAGAAGAATGCGGGTGGAGGGAGAGGATTCGTCTTCCTGCTCTGAAATGGAAAGCATAAAAACAGTGGGTGAAGGACAATCGGGCGAGGTACAGGGGGGCAATGACACTCTGTCCGCCCAGGGTGATGACCCACTCTGGGGCAGCAAAAGAAGTGGGGAAGCACAGGATTTGGTGCTAACTCAAGCTCCACAGAAGAAACTCAAGGGCCCGGTTACGGAGGAGAACTGCCAAGGTAGGGCGGCAGAGATAGGAAGCAGGTTAAACAACAAGGATGGAGGGCTAACGATGGAAAGCGCGAACCGTACGGCGGAGGAGAATAAGGAAGAAATAAGTGAGAATACTGGAAGACGGGATGTAATGGATGAGGGGTCAGATTTTGATAAAGGTAGGATGGTGACACGGAAGGCGGGCAAGTGGGCTCGGGGCGGTGGCGGCTGGCCTTCAACAGCCGCAGGCCAGCCATGAGTTATATCTTCTGGAACTGTTGTGGGCTAGGGTCGGACACGACAGTCAGGGCTCTCCATGGGCTTATTCGCAAAAAGAGACCCTCTATGATCTTTTTATCGGAGACTAAGATGAAAGATCATAGAATTCTAGGGGTGAGGAGGAGATTGGGTTATGTTTATGGCTTTGATGTTTCGCCAGTTGGAAGTTCTGGAGGATTGAGCTTGTGGTGGGAGGACAATCTGGAGGTTAATATTATCTTTTCGTCCAAGCATATTATTGATGCTGTGATGAGAATTAAAGGGCAAACACATTGGAGTCGGATTACGGGTGTGTACGGAACGCCGTATAGAGTTGAGAAAAATTTGTTTTGGGAATGGATGGTTAACCACTTTACCCCCACGGACATTCCTTGGATTTGTGGCGGGGACTTCAACGAATTCCTGTGGGATCATGAGAAGTCTGGAGGAGTTGAGGTTTTGTACAACAGGCCAAGGTTCTTAGAAGAGTTTCTGTCTTCCTCTCAGTTGATGGACTTGGGTTTCAATGGGCCGGCTTTTACGTGAAGAGGGAGGAGAAAAGGGGATTGGGTGGAAGAGAGGTTAGACAGGATCATGGCGAATGAGAACTGGCAGCAACTCTGGCCGAACTCTCAAGTTATGCATGAAACGGTTTTAGCATCGGACCACTGCCCAGTTATTCTTAATTCTAATATTGAAGGGCAGAAAGGAAGGAAGATGTTCAGGTTTGAGGCGTATTGGGTCTCGGAGGAAGAGTGTAAGAATTTGGTGGAAAAATGCTGGGATCGGCGGCATATTGACAGCCCTGTGAATAGGTGGGTGAGATCTTTAAACGATTGCCGTTATCGTTTAAGCAGGTGGAATGGCACTAAGTTTATGGGGCGAGGTAGCAGGATCCATGATCTTCTTTCCCAGTTAGATTTGCTCCAGCGGGACTGGGGTCCAAACTATGATGAGATAAGGGAGATATCTCGGCGGATTGATGAGTTAAGACTCCAAGAGGAGAGTTATTGGTGCCAGCGATTGAGGGTAAAATGGTTGAGGGAGGGGGATGCTAACACTCAGTTTTTTCACTCTTCAACCCTTCAGAGGCGGAGGAGAAATAAGATAGTGAAGCTTAAGGATGAGAATGGGAGCTGGGTGGAGAGTCCGTCTTAGGTGCGCCAATTGGTGGATAATCACTTCACTTCAGTTTTTAGCTCGGCAGAGGATCGTAACTGGGGGTCGCTGCTAGATTGCATTAATCCTTCGGTCTCGTCAGAAATGAATGAGGCGCTAATTGCACCAATCACGGAGGAGGAGATAAAGGTGGCGGCTGGGAATATGGGAGGGCTAAAGGCTCCTGGCCCTGATGGTTTCCAGGGGATCTTTTATCAGACATACTGGGAGATTGTGAGGGAGGGTGTTTCTGCGTTGGTTAAAGATTTGATTCAGGATGCTGCGGGTTCGAGTTTGATAAATCAGACTCATGTGGTGCTGATTCCCAAAGTCCCGAATCCGGAAGTTGTGTCGTAATTCAGGCCGATTAGCCTGTGCAACTACTCGTACAAAATTCTGTCAAAGATTCTTGCTAACCGGTTGAAGGTATTATTACCTAAAATCATCTCTCATTCTCAGAATGCTTTTGTGGCGGGTAGACAAATTCAGGATTGTATTGGCATAGCCCATGAGATGTTTCATTATCTGAAGGGAAGGAAAGCTCGGAAAAGATTGGAAATGAGGATTAAACTTGATATGCAGAAGGCGTATGATAGGGTTGAATGGGATTTTTTGGATGCGGTAATGGAAAGAATGGGTTTTTGCAGTAGCTGGAGATCGATAATCAGTGGTTGTGTTTCGTCTGTGAAGTTCGCTATTCTCCTAAATGGGCAGGCTGGAAAGTCTTTTGTTCCCTCGCGGGGTCTCCGTCAGGGGGATCCTCTTTCTCCTTATTTATTTATTTTGGTGGGGGAAGTTCTATCCAAACTGATTCAGGGTGCGGTTGACCAAGGTAGGTTGGAGGGTGTTAAGATTGGTGGATCCGGACCCGTGATTTCTCACATTTTCTTTGCGGATGATACCCTTCTGTTTTTGCGGGCTGATATGAAAAACTGCCGGAATTTGAGACACCTGTTGGACAATTTTTGTGTGGCGTCGGGGCAGAAGGTAAATTTGGAGAAATCTAGTGTATATTTTGGGGCTAACGTTCCAAAGGTGAATGCTGATCAGATGGGGAACGCCCTTGGTATGACGGTAGTAATCAATCCGGGAACATATTTGGGGGTTCCTGCCATATGGGGTCGGTCGAAAAAGCGTGGTCTTGCTTATGTGAAAGGAAGAGTAATGGAAAAGCTACAAGGGTGGAAACAAAATACTCTTTCCCGTGCAGGTAAAGAGGTTTTAATTAAGGCTGTTATCCAAGCTATCCCGGCATACCCAATGTGCATTTTCAAATTCCCAGCCGCTGTTTGTAAGGAATTGGATGCGTTGGTGGCTGGGTTTTGGTGGGGATGCAATGAGGGAGCCCACAAGATTCACTGGGTTTCAAAGGAGGTTTTGGGTTTGCCCAAAGACATGGGTGGTTTAGGCTTCAGAAATTTTCAGGAATTTAATGATGCTCTGCTTGCTAAACAGTGCTGGCGTTTAATCACGGAACCGGATTCGCTGTGGGCAAAGGTGATTAAAGCTCGGTATTTTCCACATAGCTCGATCTGGGATGCGAAGAAGGGTGGGAGGGCCTCTTGGGCGTGGAGCAGCATCATCTGTGGAAGGGACTTGATTAGGGAGGGCTCCCATTGGCAGATATTGGGTGGTCAGGAGGTGCGGGTGTGGCAGGATAGGTGGCTCCATCCTTACCCCTTGGACACCCGGTGCCGGTAGGCCAGGTTGCGGTTACTCCCAGTTTAAAGGTGAGTGCACTTATCTGTCCGGAGTCGGGGCGGTGGAATATTAGCTTTTTACAGCCTTTCATATCGGGGGAGGCTATGCTGGCTATTAAGGAGACGCCTCTTGGAGATTTAAGTCGTAAAGATAGGCTTATATGGGATATGAGTAAGAACGGTTCTTATTCGGTCAAGTCGGGATACAGATGGCTGCAAGGAAGATCGCTGGCGAGAAGGGATTTGCGTCGACCTTCTGTTCGTGGGGTTCCCAAAGCGTTTTGGAAGGGGATTTGGAAGCTGGAGGTGCCCCCAAAGTTGCGGCATTTCTTGTGGCTTACTGTTCACAACTGTCTTCCTACTCGGGATACACTGTTCCGACGGAGGTCCTCTCAAACCTCTACTTGTCCTATTTGCTGCTGCCATGATGAAACCATTGAGCACATTTTCCTTTCCTGCTCTTGGGTTGAACCAATTTGGTTTGGAGGGGCGTTGGGTTATAAGGTGGATTGTCTTTCTCTCCATTCTTGGTCGAACTGGATTCAGGGGGTCTTCTCTCCGAATTTATGCAACTCTGGAGATATAATGTGGAGACAATCTTATATTGTGTTTACCTGTTGGTGCATATGGAAGGCTCGCTGTGATTTTGTTTTCAAAGGGGTGCCCATTAACCCCTTAAAGGTCCTGGCTGCTGTCTCTGCGGCAGTGAGCTCGTTTTGTGGTGCAAAGGCGAAGGCTGGGGATAGAGGAGGGGGCGACGGCAGAAGGAACTTGCAGGTTACGAGATGGTGTACTCCGGCCTACCCTTTTGTGAAGATTAATGTGGATGCTAGCTGGTCCAAGGCATCAAAGATGGGTTTTGTTGGATTGATTGTGAGGGACATAGAGAGTAAGTTCGTGGCTGCTGCGCGGCATCCTATCACTGCTCCTTCTGCTGCAGCAGCGGAGGCTTCTGCGTTGCTGCACGGGTGCATGCTAGGTGCAGAGTTGGGTGTAAGGTATGTCATTCTGGAATCGGACTCTTTGGATGTGATTAAATGTCTTTCTAGCTCGCTGTCTATGGGTAGTTGGGAGGCATACCCGGTGCTGGCTCGGGTTAAACAGTTGGGGAGGGAATTCACTGATTGCCGATGGTCTTGGGTGCCACGGTCTGCTAATGGCGTGGCTCACAAGATTGCATCGATTGGTTTTACGGAGATGAGTGATGTTGTTTGGGTCGTTAGGCCCCCATCTTCGTTGGTCTATGTATTGAACAATGACGGATTACCTTGCCCTCATTAATGGGGTTATGGTGGTGCTGGGGGTGACGCCTCTACTTGGTGGAGGGGTCGTTGTGGTTTATCCCTTGGCACTGCTTGGTATTGTTATTATGTTTGCCTCTCTGTAGGCCTTTTATTTATTGATATGGTTCTTGTCTTCAAAAAAAAAAAAAAAAAAAAAAACAGGGAAAAAAAACAGTTTAATGGGCCTGGTGGTTGCAAAACGTGCGAGATTTGACCCAAAAAAAAAGAGCAGGCTGGATGAGAATAAAAGGCGGGGCGGTGTACGTGGGCCTGGTTTGACATCCGAATTGCTGCTTCCTCAACCTCTCTCCCTCTCGTACCCAAAGAGGAGAGAGGGCGGCCATAACTGGGCAATTGGTTCTCCATCCAAATTTTGATTTCTTAATTTCCGACAAAACCACAAAATTCCTCAGCCTCATCCCTCATCCGGTCATCCCCCATCCCCCAGGTGCGTCCCCGATTGACCAGTCACTCTATCACCCAATCTTTCTTCTTTCGCGTGTTCTCCGTTTGGATTTACATTTCGCGTTCATAGCCCATACTCGATTAGATTTATATCATTTATTTTTTCTTTATATTGATCGATCTCGGCTTCAATTATTGTATGTATGTATGTATGATGTATCTGTATTAAAGTTAGATAGATTCGAATGCGGTATAGAAAATATTTGATCTGTGGTTTTGGTTTGCTGCTGATTCTGATCCATATTCATATGTGTTTGTTGTGTGTAGAACCAAAGAAGCAAAGAAGCAACGAAGATGAAGGCAGCTCACCCAGTGGTGCTAGTTTTTGTGGGTTTGCTTGCGCTTGCAGTAGCACCTTCCACTTCAGCTTCCACAGTGCCAGCTTTCCTCTGGTC